GCTGAGTAACTAATGAATGAACTTTGAAGTAGCACACTAATAAGCCACAATAACAAAAATTTCTAACATCCTGTACACGTTCTGCAGTCCAACCATAGGCAAAAAAGGGGGCAAAGCAGAGAATGTGCCAGATGCTTTGTGTCGAGCTATCGCCAGCCGCGTGTGCTGAGAACAAAGAAACGAGCCGAGAAGAAAACCATGAAGACAAATAAGTGAAGTAATGCGGGGATAGTTTCAACAGATCACACACGGAGAAGCTTCTGCCAAATCAACGATCAGTCCAAAATGCTCGGACGCAGCGTCACAATGTTCATTTTGATCGATTTCGCGCATTCGCCAGCCCTCGGCAGTATGAAACGATGAACTGCGGTCACCTAAAATTGAGGCATTTCAGTGAAACACCTCGTAAAACCTAACCACACTTCCCGTCTGGACCGGCTAGGTTTGTCCAGAACGGACCAACAAACGACGAACAGGTGAAAATCTTGCAATTATGCATGAAAACAAAGCGTGCAGTGCACACCTGTAAGGTGCAGCTTCCCAGTAAACATCAATGTACCAAACGCAATTCACCGGATACCGCAGTGACAATTAGAAGCCGGCAAATGCGCCTGGCATAACGGCCGGCGTACAACAGATCACCTGAACCAAATCGAGAGCCTCTTTTGATATTCTGCCCCATTTTAGTGATAAAATTTACGGAACGGAATTATTAGCTTTACAAATGTACAGGATATGGGTGCCCACATCGACCGTTCGTAGTGAATTATTACCAGTTCCCTTTCGTTTTTCTTCCCTTCATTTTTTTTTTTATTTCATCGTTTTCTCCCTTATCCTTTAATGATGATAACGCAAAACACCAAAAGTATCAAGGAATCTTTGACAACTATGGTGACGCCCAGATACGCCGCATGAAAGCAAAACACAGTGAATGTAAAGCCAGTAGGCAACACCTTGAATTCATCTTCGTCCGTGCAATAGCCAAATTTGAAAGTTAGCATTTCAGGAATTTTTTTCCTACTTGAAACACGCAGCACTGATCCATATGCATGGCGTGATCGAGAAACTACTTCGCCAGCCTGAAAAAAAAAAAAATCATTCTCAGAGCTAAAAATGAAGAAAAGCAATTTTCAACGATTTCTAAGCTGCAACGATGATCATGCGTATTGCATGTACCTTTTCTGTCTGGTGAAAAATATGAATGTGCGTTCTCGTTAAAGCTAAATAGCACGGCACAGTGCGATGGGCCGCTCCCTCCGAAAACACTTCCACACCTTCGAAATATTCCAGTACATCATTCTGCTCAAGCGCATCTTCCAATTTCTGCAATAATATAACGTTGATTTCTAAAGGTACCATCGCATCAAATGCTGGGAAAAAGAAAGGTCAGCATCAGTCATCCAGCGCCTTCATCGACTCAAATTTACCAAAACTAATGAGAAATTTCAATAGAATATTACTTTTCTGAATGAAAAAATACCAACTTTTAACTCAGAGGCATTTGGACTTGGCAGAGCAGTGACATTTTCAGCTTCCGAGTCCGAATCACTGAGGGTGAACACCGATTTTTCATTGCGATAGCGCTTGCCGTGCCGTTGGCTCGCCTCGACATGATTAATTTCGGTAACAGCTGAACCACGGGATACGATTTTCGGTAATTTTCGAACTTTTTCGGTGATTGAAGGGGCGGTTGCTTTTACTGCACCAAGAATATTGCCAACACCAAGCTTCCACTGGAAATATCATTCACTAAACACTGAAAGGTAACATGCGGCAGGCGGTTGTTTTTTGACTTTTGCATTCCAGTTAAATAGCCCCTCATTTCGAATATGACTGGTCAACATGGCGAGCCAATAAAGTAAGACCACGCCTGTGTCTGCACAGAAGATTTCGCTTGCCCCGCCGAATAGCTAATATAATAAAAAGTTCTGATGCTTAAACTGGTAAAAACCTTACGGAAGACTTCCTCTGGGCTTCCTTTTCCATTGTTGGAGACGATTCGCGCTTGCATTCTTTACACAGGGCGGCATAGTGCCCATCCAAGCGTTCAAAATGCCCTCCAAATTGCTCGTGCAGTGCTTAAAATACGTTTAAAACAAAATCTATAAAAAATCGAGATGAAATCAAAGCTCCATTTCTTTCAGCATTTTTCTTCTTTTCTCATCCCTCCCCCTCCTCTCCCTCCTCCATCAACGGAAGCCAGTGTGTTATGTGTAACAGTAATGCTTCCATCACCCAAAATCACTCGTAAAATTTACCTTTGTAGCCGCCGTCAACCAAGGCAATATGTTTTCTTCCTTGCTGCAGAAAATTTGCAATAACCATGTGCAAATATAAATCATCTTCACGCCCAGAACCGAGGAATAAAATATGCTCATCCGGATGAGATGTGCAACGATAAGCATCCAGACTCGTCAGCGCTAACTTATACTGAGCTGGGGCTTCAACAAACTGAAAAAAATACTTTACAACATTCTATGCATATTTTTTTTCAGCTTACGATAATAGACCCTCTCTCGAAGATAATGTTGACTGGATCAGCACGTAAACACGTCGAAGAGAAAAAATGACTTACAAGTGTAGAATCGAGATTGTATGAGCCATCCAAATGACCAGCTGCATACTGATCATGGGAACGAGCATCGATGATGAAAAAATTTGGCTCCGATTCCTGCCGACAGCACAATTCAATATATTAAAGCCAGCTGCATATATTAACGCCAAATTCTCAGAGAATTCTCAAAAATCTTAATAGCTCTGTGGAATTAGCACAGTGGCACTCCCTGAACAACTTACATTCCCTGCCAAACTTCTTTTTTGGTGCTGCTAATCGAAAGGGCGCTGATTGGCTTACATCAAGAATTTCAGCTGCTGAAGTGCTCATCGATAACTTACTGAAGTATTGAAGTTCTCATCGAAACCCATGCGAATAACATCACGCGGATCGATCGGTAACGCAAGCAGTCGAGCAATATCGGCCCGCACTTCACCGTCTCGCCTTGAACCGAATAGGACGCGTTGGAAATCCTAAATTCCATCAACTCTCATGTAACAAACGGGCACTGGACAAACAGGATCACATTTTATAACGATGCTCGAAGCACGAAAATGAAGCGGCGGAACACTGCAGAATTGGGCAGCAGCCCAGCAGAAAAACAATCCTGGCCCTTTTAAAAAACACTACACAGCAGATTACAGAAACAACAAAGAGTTAAACGGTACAGAACAACAGCGCCTGACATGCGCTGTACCTTACTGGAATTTTTACACGGGCTGCTGAACGAAAGATGAGCCTCACGAGTTCAACAAAAGCGTTTCGCTGTGTGTTCGAACTCTTTCTACTCTCTGAATTACCTGTTTGATTGATGATGGCGTCTGGCTGAGAAACAGGACGGTCAGGTCAAAGAAGTCATCGACATCTCCAACGGAGAGCTCTTTGACTAAAAACCGAATTGTATCAACCAGTTCACTGAAAAGAAGTTAAAATTTGATCTGCCACGATGCAGAGAACATCAACCTCCGTTCAATCATTTGTTTTTTTCGGCTATGCCCGCGCTTTATTCCTGGATTGAAACAGGAAAAAAAGAAAATCAGACAAAATGCACACCTTTTGGTGCTTAGCGCCAGCAGTTGCTCAGAGCAATTCATTAAAAAGACCAGTATCATTGCGAACAATAAATACGGATCGCCCTGAATGATGAAATTCGATAAGAACAGCTCTGCTATAAGGAGAGGAATAACACCGCAGTCAGGAAGAACTGGCTGTAGCCCTTTACATCAAGCACAACTTCTACTAAATTGCTGTTAAACCAATACAATAAGCCGATTGTAGCGTCCAGGTTGATCAAGGGTGCCAGAGTAAGGAAAGTGTATAAAAAGAATAATAGGAAAAATGATTGAGTTAAGACGTTTCGGTCCATTAAGTCAATAAATCGTGAGACGACCATTTGGCAAGCGATGCTACACCGAGCAGGGGAGCATTCAATCCAGGACTGCATACGCCATAAGCCTGCCCGAAAATGGAGTAAATTATCCGAAAAGACTACTATCGCAGAAGCATCTTGTCAAAACAAAAAAAAAAATTGGCCAACGCACGGGCTGCCTGTGCGAAGATGCGTTTTTTGCAGAGTTCCCTGCAGTT